CCATTTTTCACAAATGCGTAAACGCATAAAAAGTGATAACAGTATCTGTTGCAGGGTACTGGCATTAAAATACTGAGAGTAAACTTGAGACGTTATTTTAAAAACGTAGTTGGTGAAGTACAAGCAGAAACAAGCAAGAACGTAATGACAGAAAACAACAAAGTAAGACTAATAGGCAGGAAAGCGTAGAATTGCGCTACGTAAACGATAAAAGCATGGACTGTTACAAATCGTTGACTTCGATATTAATTTAGCTCATAATGCTTTACTTCTGTTCGCTTCCACCTCAGTGCTCGTATGGAACATCAGGGCTTATAGGATCACTATGGCACGTCATAACACGGGATTTTTTTGAAAATTGGAGATCTGACTTCCGGAGTAACTAAGGCAGAAACGTGACCGGAGTCTGTTAGATTCAAAAAGCTGCCAACTTACCGGCTTTGTCTGGATCCACTACTGGTTTCATTGTGAGCGAATGTAAACCCCGAGCTTCACGTTCACCACTATAAGCCATAACAGCAGTGAAGAACGTTAGCTGATAAATGTATGTGAATGTAACTCCCATAAATGTATAAAAACAAAACATCTGAACACTTGGCAAGGTTGTCAGGCAGCCAATGCCGAACGTTACCTGGAAACATATAAATAACATGTCATCGACAGGAGGGTCGGGTGATGTTCAAATTCTCCAAATAGCGGCAAACTTGCGTTTTCCTTTTTGAAGGAATGTTTACATTTTAAGAATTTCAGTAAACTCAATTCCATTTCGCACTGACAGTAATAATGATGACTTTCAATAAGTAAGTTATTAATGGATTAAAAAAAATTGCGTCATTCTTTTGTACAGAATCACCAAACATGTCATCAGTTCCCAATAAAACATTTTAGAAAAGAGCATTTGGAGCAAAAAAGTCTTGGATACGCACAAAATGGTCGAAGAGAGAGTAAAAAAACGGTTCGGTTGGGAGAGTAAAAAAACGGTTCGGTTGGGAGGATCATAAAATATGAAGCGCTTGTTAAAAAGAAAACATGATATTTTCCTGCAATTTTTATTTAGTTTTCATTCGCTGTAACATTAGTGAATGCCCCAGGATTGCACCTCCTATAATTTTGTGCGTCTCTGCCAAAGAATCTGATGCATTTTGGCACCCAGTTCAAGGTGTGCACGACTTGTGAGGGACATGGCATTTTCCATCAGAAAGGAAGAAAAAGTGCGCCAAGTAATGTCACGATGTTGGTCACAAGCTGCAACTTTTCCAGGCAACGCAACCACGAAGGGTAAATTGTATTTTTTAACAATCAGCCGGAAGAAGTCGCAAACTAGCGAGTAGTTCTTACAAGGAAAGGAAACGGCCACATGGTCTATCTTCAAAGATTTGGTTTGGAAAGAATGATTTCGTATTAATTAGCTTCAGAATAAGGAAATGTGAGATGAAGGGGGCTAGACGTCTTGTCATACGGGAATATCGTAAAGAGAATGTTGCCCTACTTCCAGAAGGGTAGACCAGGGTATTCACCCTAGTTAATTCACTATGTCCTCGTTCCCCCACTAACCCATGATCGTCTGTGTTCTATTCGTCAATAAATGCACAAAAGAAGGTTGGCCCACAAAGGCAGCTCGCGATAGCAGTCTTCGGCCAAGGTAAGTTGCCCAAAATCCCGGTAGGACCTGCAAATAAATTTGGGTCTGCAGAAATGATTACTGCAAGTCAGATTTATTAACTGCAGTACGTCAATAATTAACACAGTCTCGTTGGACGAAGTTTTAGCCGTAGAGCCCGTGACAAAGTCCGACACAGATAAAATAAATACTCTAAAAGAGCACATCGCTGCACAAGTGCTAGAAATTGAGAAACAAAACCTACAGATTAGACAGCTACAGCATACCATCTAACAAAAGGAGGAGGGATGTGCCTAAGTATGGCAGAGACTGGCGGAGTTCGAAAAAGCGAACGCCATGTCAGCCTTAAAAAGAGACATAGTCATCCTAAAATTGAGACTGGAAACGGAGCAAAATAGGGCGGTTGAGGTCCAGCTTCAAGTGTCTTCAGAAGCCTTGTGCAGCGAGCGTCAGACAAAGCCGGCTATATTGACGGATGGTTTAGTTCAAGTGCAGAAAGGAAATAAATCCAGTTTGATGACAGAGTCAAACCAGGGCTGTCGACAAAAAGCCGTAGCATGAGAAGCTGTTTTTAAGGAGTTGCGAGTCTTTATTGCTAACGAAGGCTACAAGGAGGCGCGTAACTTTTTCGAAGAATTTGAATTGTTGACTTCGGTTTTTCAGAGTCAGCCAAAATGAATATTCTTCAGGTTAGAGCCGAAATCACAATGAATAATTTAGCCCCAGAAACCGCGCTGCACTACGAGATAGTTCGTAATGCAGCTCTCGCCGAATTGAAGGAGAACGACTCCACGGCGGCAAAAGCTTTCAATGAACTAGCGGAAGGGGTCTTCCAAAGAAGCAAGGAACGAGTACTGGAATTCGGAGAAAGAGTAGAAACTCCAGTCCGACGTTCCTTACTGCAGGAGAATGAGACACAGACGAAATTTTTCGACGCCATTTTGTGCGCCGACTAGTAAACATAAATATTATGAGTTCGCTAATTACGCAAAATAAAATCAAATTTAAATCGCTCTGTATTAACGCAAGTCAGCTGAAGCTAGCGTTCGAAGCTTTAGCAAAACTCCGAGACAGGTTTCCACCGTTAGCACAGGAATGAGCTGCAGCTATGAGAAGCAGGAGAGGGTAGTATCCAGGAAGGCGAAAAACAAAAGGTAAGTAATATAGTTTTTTGGCGTGCATTTTGTGGGAACAGAGGGCACACAGAAGTCAAGTATTTTTTCAAGCATGGCAAAAATGGATGACCCAAAGAAGGGGATCATTGCTCAATCGCCACAGCAAGAGCACAGGAGTCCCAGAAAGTTCTTAATTCCTTGCCTCAGTCGCGGAGGTAGACCAGAAAAGTCGGACAAGCTCAGCGTTGGTGCAACAGGACAAGGGTTGAATTGATTATAAGAAATACTTTCAGTACAATATCCTCAGTTTTTAATACAAAATTAAAGTAATGAAGGCCCTACCGACTGCTAAAGCGTCGGGAAAAACCCCAGTGGCGACACTGTGAATTCGTGGGTTTTACCTCATAGCGCCTGTTGGATATGGGTTCAGCAATTTGTTTAATTATTTACCATATTATGCACAAGCTTATATGCCAAATCAAATTAAACGCCACTACTGCTGGCTTTGGGGAAAATCCTTCAGTCGCAAACGTCAAAACCGCTAGTGGTGTACCTTTAAAATTAAGAGATGCAATTATGCTGATGGTCAGCAATGATCATTTTTCAAGCCTCACCGAGTTTCACTTACTAACTGAATAGTTACCATTTGAGTTATGAATTGGTATGAATGCGTTAGAAGTGTTAGATTACGCACTGGTGGAGACGAATGTCAAGCCACACCACAGCAATTCATTGTACCCCACAGCCACGCACAGCTCGCGAAAATCATAGCGGACAAAAATTAAACCATTCCTCCACACTGTAGTTTAGTTATTAGAGTGAGAGTGAATGGTAAGGACAGTAATAGACGGTTATTTGAATTCAGGTCGAATGGTCAGCTAGTTTCTCCATTTTCTTTGATAAAAATCAAGGAAGGTAGAGGTGGCGAGAGAGACGGCAGATGGGAGGGAGGGTAAATGCAACGTAGTGATCGACAACATCAGCGATTTTCCGATTCGAATGAACAAGGATAGCACTATTGGGACAGCTGCACCGTTACGGTATTTCGAACCGATACATGCAGAAGTTTCTTATTGTTCATTAGCTCAGGACATTTCACGCTCAAAAGAACTTTAGTCACGCATATCTGCTGGACTGCAGCATCTAAATGAAGAACAGTTAAATAGGTTAGGAAGGCTCATCAATTTAAAATGTGATGTGTTTGCGTTAGTTGAGACTAAACTCCAGCAAACGACTCACGTACTACATAAAATTGATACGACAAGCCGGTGAAATCGGCGCACGTAGAGTTCCCTATGTGTGTAGGGGTAAAATGGCTGTAATGTTGCAGGACTACCTGGCACGCGGCCTAATTCAGCAAGCTAAATCATCTTGGAGTAGCTCAGTAGTGCCGGTACAGTGTAAAGATGGAGATTTAAGGTTCTGCGTTGACTGCAGAAACCTCAGCAGCATAACCATTGCTATCCAATACCTGTAATCGACGACCTGTTAATGAGTTTGGGGAAAAAAAGGTATTATTTCTCGTTAGAACTTGGGGCAGGATACTTGCAAATTGCAAAGGAAAAAGATTCGGTTGAGAAGACAGTTTTCTGAACCAAAAGCGGATTATATGAATTCATGATTATGCCATTTGGCCTAGCAAATTTAGTTGCTACGTTCCAAACATTGATGGAACGTGTCCTAGAAGGACTGGTAGGAAAATTTGTTTATTGTTACTTGGACGGTGTCTTGATAGCATCGGAATCATGGGGGCAACATTTGAAGCAACTCGCAATAGTTGTGGATAGAATCCAGGAAGCAGGATTAAAATTGAAGCCAAGCAAGTGTCATTTTGCTTTGCAGCAGGTCTCATTTTCGGTTCATTTGTTGGCTCCAAAAGGGCTCAATGGACCAAGAAATGGTATCGGCAATACGCAATTACCCGAAACATGAAAACAAGAAAGACGCGAGATTTTTTGGTTTTTCAAGTTATTACAAGAAATTTGTCAAGGATTTTTCAAAAACTACTTCACTTATTTCACTTTTGCTCAAAGATGATCAGCAATTCCGCTGGAACAGTGAACAAGAACAAGCTTTTCAGAGCATCAGGAAGTGTGATTGCGAAAAATGCTTTCTTGTATTTTCCGAATTTTGAAGGAGCTAAAATGGGAGAGTCGCCATTCTTATTACAGACTGACGCATCTAAAATAGGAGTTATCACAGTTTTAAACCATTGGCGACATGCACGGGCGGACCCGTGCGATCGTGCGTTTTTGCAGTGTTTCGTGCTGTAAAGAGATCGCTGGGAAGCCCAGTAGCTAGAAATGTGTGACATACCGGTCCGCGAATTTTGGGAAAGTAATTGTCTACGCTGTACTTGGACAAGGAGCATCCCCTAAAAATTTCAGAACCCCAGCTTCCCCGCTTCCGAGGTTAGCCATCTTCCGGCCAAAAACTTTCACGGAGTGTACGTGAAAACCACGCATAACTGAAGGACGCACTTGAAAAATTTAATTTTACATGGGCTGGGAACATTCTCTTAAAATCTCAGCCGTCCAGCTTTCCTGGATCCAAAGTTAGCGATTTTCCTGCCAAGAACCCCCTTGGAGCCGTACGCGGTAACCGCGCACACCTCGGGGCTGAATTTGAAATCTTTGAGTTCTACTTGGACGGGGAATATGACCTCAAAATTTCAGATTCCTAGCTTTTCTGGTTCCCGAGTTAGCGAATTTCCCACCAAATTTTCGCGCGCTCATACACGGGCCTGGGCGAGCGTGAAGGTTAGTACCGCTGTCCTGGAGTGACACTTGGCCGGAGAACCCACTCGCAAAATTTTGACGCAGGAGCTTGCTTGGGCGCCAAATTGAAATATCCGGACGGACAGACAGACACACACATCGGGGTCGTCGCAATATGCGTTTTCGCATTTGCATATATGCAGAAACGCATGACGAGAAAGACGAAAATAATAGAATTCAACCGATCATGTTTGCCTCTCCGCGATACACTCCAGCTGAAAGCCGCTATTAGACAACAGAGCTGGAAGGATTAGCAATTCCACATGCGGTCAAGAAATTCTTGCAGTACACTTTAGGACTAAACATCGAAGTTCATACCGACCATCAGGCACTGGTAAATATGTTTCACAAACATTCGAGAAATTCGCGAATAAACAAAGGGCTATAGAAGTAGCACCGTATAACCTCGTAGTCAAGTACCGACAAGGGCATACGAATATAAATGCGAATGTGTTAAGTAGGGTATTTGGGGAAAATACCACCAAATTCAAGGAGAGAGAAGGACCTATGTGCATGAATTTTGCTGCAGACTGGCTCAGTGATCCCGAGAAGAGTGAATTTGCCGATTTAATCAATTATCTAAAGCATCAGACTCTGCCAAGTGAAATATTACGAGCAAGTCAAATCAAGGAAATGCCCAAGCAGTATGCTATTCGTGACGGATATTTTTACTTCATCGATCGCAAACAGCGAGCCAGACTAATAGTTTCACAGCTCAAGACAAAGTTATTGTTTCACGAACGTCATTATGGCAATGTAGGCATTCACTGCTGTGGATGAAAGGCTTTTTCCGTGTTAACCAAGAAATATTTCTGGCCACGAAGACGAGCCGACACTGAACGGTGAACAAGGCAGTGTGAAATATGTGCTTTGAATAGAACGTCGCGCAATAATCAACCGCCATTGAAGCCATTTGTCGCGGATCAACCATTCACAGTTTTCTGCATGGGCATAAGAGATTGGTTTGACGGGCCGAGGGAGCATATACATTTTGACGATGATCGGTCATTTCTCGAAGTGTCTAATCACTGCTGCTATACCGGACAAGTCTGCTAAGACAGTAGCCCGGTGCCTTCTAGAGCAAGTCATACTGATTCACGATGCCCTTATGCGACTTTTGAGTGATAAAGGCATCGAATTTGTTAAGACTTTTCTGGACGAACTCAGTTCTATTCTGTCAATCGAACGCCCAAATACAGATGGTTATAATCTGCAGTGCAACGGTGAAAGTGCAAACGCAAATCAAATTATTTTGAAAATGCTCAAAACGAGCTGTAGAGATACGCAAGACTGAGACGACCGCCTCGCGCATGTAACGTTTGCCTACGGTATTGTTCCGCATTCATCGTCAGGTGAATCCCCTTTTACTCTTGTTTTCGGCTGGGATGGCTTTCGTCAACCGTTGATCCGCGGGTGAACCCGTCGCCACATACGTTCGACGCAGATGATTATAAAGCTGTTTACCAATATCGCGGCGATTCAGAACTTCGTGAGGGCCGCCACAGCGGAAGCGCGCAAAAGATTCGAGCTCTATTTTAACAGAGCCCGCAATGCAAAAAATGGAAAGTATCGTGTAGACATGAAAGTGAAAATCACAGCCGATAAAATTTGGAGCTATACCGCTGACATATTTAAATTGCCGGCAGTGCGGAAGTATTTCTAAATAATGACGGCCGAATCCGGAGCCAAGCGTAAGTAAATAAATGTGAAGTTATTACCATGACCCGTCTCCCAGACTAACAAATAGCTGTCCTGGATCTACCCACTAATTTAACTAATTTGGCACCAGTCAATCATTTTCATGCGTTTTTGCATAAATGCAAATTGCAAAAACGCATATTGAAAAGAGGCTGTGTGTGTATGTGCTCGCACTTTTTGTCATCCATTTTCAACTCGAGAAAAAGCTAGAAGGGTGGAACTTTGGGATTATCTGCCCATACCACGCGCGACCCTCCCGTTTTAATATCATCCCCCGCGGACGCCTGGGTCGCACGGACGCTTTAAAAAATGCAAATTTTTTAGTGGGAAAGTGATCTCGAGAACCAGACACGGCAAGGGGCTGAA